TAAATGCATTGCGGTAACAGAAGAAAAAACTAAAGAATTTTTACAAATTATGAAAAATAAACATAAAAATGCTTTTGGTTTCGAATAGAACAAAGAAATATTGAAAAGATGTGGTTAAAAAAAAAATTTTTTATGAAATTTGATATTTGTAATATTTAAAATGAAATTGTCGAAACGTCAAAATATTTGATAGATTTCTGATTTTGTTGTGTTTTTTAATGGCTAATGTAATGTGTTAAACAGATACATTAAAATAATTAGCTAAAAAGTTTAAATTAACTTGAATACGTACAGACTAGGTGGCAAAACAATTTAATTTTTGTGTTTTCTTTCTTCATCATTTTTAGCTTCCGAGATTTTAAATTAAGCATAGAGGAAGAAAAACTATTAAAGACACCTATACATTGTATGTATACTCCCTTATATAATATCTATGTAATTATATTTGTGCACAAAATGTAAAAAAAAAAATTGAATATAATTTTTTAAAATTGCTTTTGACTTTGAGATTTGTTTTACGAAATTGTTGGCATAATTTAATTACTATAATATTATTTTAAAAAAATTTGTGATATTTATTTCTAAAAGTAAAAGAAAAGTACTTAAAACAATATGAGCCTGGTTCGAGTATTCATAGGCGGCGCAAATTGATTTGATATTTTGCTGCACTGCTGATAGACGGTAAATTTCCAATATTCCTTTTTCATTTAGATTATTAAAGACTTTTTTCCTGTTCTATACAATATTTCAACCAACGAACTAAGCAAAGGATTTAAGAAATTTCTAGTAAATTCTTCTTCAAACTAAAAATTATAACACTTATTTATCTTAGACCGATGAACAGTCGGCAACTTTTTTTTTTTAAATATTGTATAAATTGCATAGCTTCTTCCAATTGTTTAATTTCTTTTAAAAGATTGTTTCCTACTATCATTTTGTTTAGCTTCTGCCAGTGATATGCTTTCCCTCTTCAATTTGGTACATAGAACGAATTAAATTCGAAAGTTGCATATATCTAAAACAGATTCCAGAGCACTATATTTGCCAAAATATTTTACTTCGAAAATGCATCTATTATGCAACTTAAGTGAAATTGTAAGTCAGAACACAATTTCCACACATTCAAGGTGATTTTGCTGCAACTACAATACATAAGTGAAGTACCAAGTTTCATAAATCTTATATTATTTTTCTGGTATTCAATATAAACCCTACTATTTACAAATTGAAGAAAAATCTAAGTATAATTTCATTGATAAAATTCGAAACTTAATTTTTGAGGGGCACGTTAAGTTAAAACCATCATAAATTATGTTGTATGTATGTAGTATGTAAAAAATAAAAATATGCAATTTCACACATTTAAAAAAAAATATTATAAAAACGTTAATTTTTGTTGAACATGAAAAAAAAGAAATTTTTAGACACATTTAAGTTTTATTAATTAACCTCAAAACGTGCTTTCTGTGTTGTAAAATTTAGTACATTTAAACAAAGTTACAGCTACGGCCAGAAATTGTTATAATAAAATATGTACCAGTAAATTCCTAGTGTTAATTGTTAAAATGTTAATGAAATTAATTTGAATTTTGCTTTCATATTTGCAATTATTGAAGTATTGTATAAGTGAGTGAGTTTTTTGCAAAAAATTTGGAAGCGTGCATTATAGATATCATTGTGAGTGTATGTATATATGTATGTACATACATTGTGTATATATGTGCATCTGTATAGATTCATACATTTGGAGAAAGCGATTAATGACCACAAGATAAATTTTGAAGTCAAATGGACTTTACTATTTAAACTTCCTTAAATTTAACATTTCACTAACTAAATTGAATACAAACACTTACTTATTAATACATACGTGTTATTTCTGACTATGTACTTCTGTAACCCCTTGATCGACATTCGACAGTGTTGTGCTTAAAACATTATTGTTTAGGTTTTCTTTCCATTGCAAATAATTTTTCATAAAATTTTTTTCTTAAATTGAATTTTGTTTCGTATGTCCATAGAAATGAAAAATAAAAATTTGAAATTAAAAAAAAAGTGCTTACTTAGATTTTATTCCCCATCTTATAAATTATGTTAGTTTAGAATATGAGTGTCTTCCTATACATGCGACACATTTCTGAGAGCTTTAAAGTTTTTATAACGTCGCAAATCAGTAAAAACAAATTATAGACCAAAACAAACAAAGTTAGTGTCAGCATTATTAATTGAAATCGAATTCAATAAGAAAGCTTGAAGAATTTCCATCAGTCTATGTTATTATAGTTATTGAGGGTAGATGAAACGCAAACTAATTTTAGAACACTTCCAACGGAATTAAAAAAATGCGCTTATTAAAAGCGCACATAAGATTTTCTTTTTCTCCTCCTTAAAGTATGCAATAGAGGAATATATGAAGATATTAAAATTTGATTATATAAATAAAACATATCCTGCAATTGAGCAACTTGTTATGTATGTATGTATGTCCTCGTATATTGTTAAGTTCGTTTACATTTTAATCATTCATTTGCCCCGCAATAACACCTAGTGATAAATAAGTTTGGTTTTAATCAATAATACAAATCAAATTTACGAGTAGCATCAAATTAATATTCATTTTTAATTTAAAAAAAACATTAATCTCTTTTTTCTCATATTCTAATGGAAATCATTGTAATATATCTATATTGTGTCTATTTAACTTCGGAAATTTGAAACTTTCTAAACATATAATCATAACACTAAACAACACAAATCAAATTGTTTTACATTATTATCTAGGTATGAATGAATGAAGAAGAAAGAGTGAATGAAAAAGAAGAAGAGAAGAGTATTCAATTATCTTATTCTACTTCCGAATCATTTATTCGCATTTGAATACATTTACAATTCGCATACACTTACAATTCTGCCCCATTCGAACAGCAATTGAGTAAAACAATCAAAGTAATATTCTCTGTTACCGTTATAATTTCAAATAAATAACGGAATTAAAAAATGTAAGTATGTGTACATTCTTTACGTCGTAATCCAAATTGTTGATAATTTTAATAGATTGTGTATAATCGGTATGTTTGCTTTGTATGTAAACCTGTTTTGCATTAACTTTAATAGCGTGTATCAGAAAAACAGTTATTACACATACAAACTTATTTTGAGCTCAAAAAATTTTTTAAATTTAAGAATTAAATTTTTCTAATAAATTTTAAAAATTATACTAGTTTCAATACTAATAGAAGTAAAAGTTTCTTAAAATGTTGATGAAGATTCTTGAGTAGACGTCCAAAATAAAATTCGCCTGAAGAAAATTTATTTTTAAACGAATTCATCTTTAACAGGATTGTATAAAAAAATATGAATAACAAGAAACGTCAATTAGTATTGAAGTAAATATAAAAAATGCATTTATAACCACCGTTAACTGTTTGACACAATCACACTGACTTTCTTTGTTTCACTTGTAAAACAATAATGTTTTATATGATATATTTTTCTCTTATAAAAAGTAATTGAATAAATTATGAGAGAAATGATCGCGTGACATATTTTTCTCAATATTGTGCTGTCACATTTGTATTTTGAAGTTGAACGCTTTTCATTATAGTTAATGCATTATAATGAATTGTTTATGTTGGGCAGGTCTGTTATATGACGTTTCTGATAATCATAATCATAACAAATCCAAAGGCCAAATCATAGTAAATGCAATAAACTAAAATCGGATTCAATCATAAACTTATTTAATATTTCTCCAGCTCATATATGCACATACATATATTTAAAACGTTTATGTAAAAAATCTTTATTATTCAGAAAATTCAGAAATTTTCAACTAGCAGGCGAATTAGCAATAACCATTTTAATTCAAAACAATGTAAAATTTTCCCAAAAAAAAAAGAATGAACTCATCTCTGTTGTATAAACAAAACATTAATATTCAAGTCAGTTCAGATTCCCTTGATATTTAACTAGTATGAAATTTCATTTCGAATGATTAACACTTGGGCAAATAAAGAATTTGATTTGATTAACCAACTATCAATGACATACATACAAACATACACAAATGTACAATTGAAATTTTGTAAAAGGACATTTTTAGTAACATGTAGAGAAAGCAAAAAGAGAGAAATAAAAAGAGCAAATTAGAAATGAAAACACAACATAAATCTTTTAAGATGCTTGTTTCGAACAAATGTTGAAGAAAAATTTTATTTCATTGTTTATTTTGAATTGGTCGATTTCATTTTGCTTACGGGTATACAAAAAATATTTGTGATTTCATATATGAAGGATATATGATCAATTTTATCCTTTGAAATGTTGACTTTTATAATTTTCTCAATACCATTATGATGAAAATTCCATTACACGTTGTGGTCTACAATACAGAGACTTCCGTAAAATATTTTTATAAATTAACTTTGCAAATATCTTTAAGGCAAATTGGTTTTCTTGTTTTTTTTTTTCAGAATTTTGGGAGAAATCTTTCAAAAAAAAAAAAAATTTGTAATTTTTTGCAATAAGATTTTTCAAAATGCTTTAATTAAAATTGTTTTAATTTTTTTTTATGTAAAAACTTGTAATTTTTAGTAAGTGCTCTATAATTATTTTAAGAATGAAGAGAACCATGATGAACGCTCCAAACAGGAATCAAAATATTATTTTTGTTAATAAATTAATCCAATTTTTTGTTTTCGAAAAAATAATATTTCCCAAAGAATAGTAAGAACTGCCTTGTCAAATTTAAATTGATGCAAAGAATCAATTGAAAAATTTTCAAATTTAATTCGGAATAATTGAATCTTGAATGAAATAATCCATGAGGAAAATGTAGAAGAATACGTACATAAAAAGCACCATAATTCTAATTAAAGAGAAAACAATAGAAAATTACAAAAACTGAATATTATCGTATATGCCAAAAACGCAACAGAAATGTAAAAATTTTAAAAATAATAATAATAATAATTTTTTTTCTATTTCTTTTTTTTGTTTAGGTAGCGTTAAAACGTCAACAAGCTGTAGAAGATGCGATTGCATTAAGACTTGCTTCAAATGAAAAAGGTGTACCATTAGAAACTTTACCACCAGGAAAAATTTTTGGAATGACAGTAACAAATCCTTGTAATAGTCCACCACCGCCACCACTCTCATCTTCACCAACAATTTCCGATAAGGATTCAGTGAAATCAAGTAAGTAACCTATACAACTTTTTAATTAAATATATTATAATAGAACTAAATATGTACACATGCAATTTTGAATATAATATTATTCCACATACATATTGATTATTTCTTCCTTTAAATTTTATTTATTTTTTTTTAGCTTCTTCAAATTCTTCAAATCCTACAGTATCACAGAGTGCAATTGATATGTTAGCACAATTATTTCCACATAGAAAACGATCAGTTTTAGAATTGGTATTAAAACGATGTGATTTAGATCTTTTAAGAGCAATTGAACAATGTTCACCATCACAATCTGTGAGTGCATTTAGACCACCCTCATCGCAGGTAATCGAAATTATACGAACTTTATTTAGTATATATATGTATGTATATAATATAATGCACCGTATATTATTTTAATATGAAGACATTCGATTACATTTACATATATGTATGTACATTATATAAGCTCTTGAAAATTTCGGTTTATTTCTTTTATTTATCTTATTTTCCCTTAATTTTATTTAAATTCTAACACTATAGCAAAATGTTTTCTTTATGAAATCGATATTTTTCTGCGAGGAAATTATTTTTCTTTCAAACAAATATTGTTATATATTGCTTTTTATTTTAAATTTGAGTATGAAGAACATTAAATGGGTACTGAATAGGCATAAGATAAATGCATGAATTCGATTTTTCTACAAAAATTTTATATGATTTCGTTTATGCGATATAAAATTTTGATAGCAATTTAAAAATATACATTAAAAGGACATGAATAATTTGAAATTTGTACATGTTTGTATATGTATTTTGTTGTTCCAATAACATAACATAAAATTAAAGCTTTTTTTTAAATAATAAAAACAACTAATAAATATTGAATTTTAGGTACCTTCAACAAGTTGTACATCAACCATTACATTACCATCATCCTCTACTGCGAGTAGTAGTGCATCAGTAGTTACACCAATTCAAATTCCAATAAATCAACCAACACCATTACCTCCTCAACCACACTATACACCTTTAATCGCATATCCAAAATGGTTATTACCAATGAGTATTCCTGTAACAATGGGTCATTTACCAAATTTAGCACCAAGATGTACTCTACCAAATTGTCCATGTATGGATTCATTTCACTTGAATTAATAAGAAAATTGAAAAAGAAAAATTAAATTGGCATATTTTATAAAAACTCTGGTAATAAGTTTAATTAGTCAAATAAAAGTTATTTAGTTTTTAATTTTTTTTTGCATAATTATGTGTTATGCAGTAAAAATATCTTTAAAATGAAGAATTCATTTAATGAGAACTTTATATACCACCACCAACTTTATATACTACCACTTTATCTACCATTTTCCAAATCTATCCTATTAATTAAATTCAATTATGTAATCCAAATTTTCTTTCTTATTTCACTAGTATAAGTAACACAATGTGCATATGTGAGTGCAAAACTATAAATCGCATATGTCATATTTTTAATCTCAATTTTAAAGTCAGGACTCTAAGAAATTGAAAATAATTGACTTAAATTTATACAAATTAAAAAACTTTTAACAAATATAATTTTAAAGGGGTTATTAAGAATTTATCCTTGTATTAAATCAAATGAAATATTCCGATTTAATGTAAATAAAAATTCACAATTAAAACTTTCAATCAATCTTTTGTGTTGAAAACAGAAATCTAGCACATTCAATTGTGAATTATTTTCCGAAAGAATTCATTTCAAATTAATTTTTTCATGGCAACATAGATTAAATTGTGAATATTTTTCCAGTAATAATATAAATATTATTGTGAATATATATGATGTTGATGTCTTTGCTTAATATAGTTGTAGGAAAAAAAATGTAGTTTATCTTTTTACCGCCAGGGAAACTAAAATCATATTAAAATCATTTGTTTCGATACTCGTTATTAAACCCCGAAATATATGCAATATCGAAATAAATTTGATGCGATTCAGCGTAAATGTATAGCTGGTATTGTCCATTGGTAAATTTTCTTTTATTCTTTCTAAGTATTTAATAAATTTAAATAGAAATCGAATCTAAGTAATAGAAAACCAATATGTTTAGTAAACTATTGCACATTCAGTATCTTTAAATTCAAATAGCAGCCAGGTTTTCGTTATTTTTTATTATTAATATCTCAATTTCAATTAAAAGGTACAATCACCTGTTGAGTTACATTTTTTTCACAAAATTTGTGAGTATACGATAAATAACTATTATGTGTACATATGAATATATATTTTACTTATATTATTAAACTCCACAAACGTAATGTTAAAAGTTAATGAAAATATATAAAGATAAAGTATGCACAATACATACTTGGCAATTTACCAAAAGAGACTACCGTTCTGAACGATTTATGAAATTCACTTTCATTACTATTTCAAAAAGGATTTTGTTATAACAGGTATAAACTTTGCTTTATAAAATTTTCTATGGAATATTTAATAAATTGTATATAATAAAGGGAACAATTTTTTAAGCGACTTAACGATTATATAACGATTATCTGGAAAAGTCGACAAAGTGTTAATGAATTTTTTTTACCATTTTTTTACTTAAATATCCTTTTATATAAAATAATATAAGAGTTTTCGTTAAAAGATTACTAAAATATGGGCTCTCTAAAAGTTTGTCTTATAATGATTTTATAATGATTCATATATTTTAAAGAATAAATTGAATTTAAATGTAAGGTTTACAAATCCCGATTTTCCTAAAACTCAGTTGTGTTGTCACACTGATTTAATGTACGTATTCTAAAATTAACAGTAATATTAATTAACTGAATATAGAAAATGTGGAGGAATATTATGTGTATAATGTGTGCCCAAACATATGCACACACATATGTAAATGCATATTTTATATGTGCGGGTTCGACTTGCCTAATATTGGCTATTTTCCTTACTTTGTATACAATACCTTTTATATATTTTTAAACCTTGCTTTTTAAATTCCCGTTTTATACACAAGAAATTTCTTTAAAATTTATTTTTTATATTTATATTATATTTTAGCAGGTAAACGCATATTTTTTTACAAAAAATCCTTATCGTTGTCATAATCCCTTTTCATCAATTTCAATTTAAAACGAGTTTCTTTGTTCAAGCAATGCATTTCTAAAAAGGAATTTTCTCGTTAAGAAATTTAAATCCCCTCCGTGATACACAATTGTTTGGGATTGGTTGTTATTATAAACCAAGTGTTCTTTTAACGTAATATCAAAATTAAGTAATTTTGCAGGTATGTATATACGTACGTGTATGTTAGCCTCTTTTGAGAAATTTAAATAAAACTGAAGAAGCATGAATGCAGGAATTATTGAGCTAACTGGTACGATTCGTTTTGCGTTGTTGAAGCAATAAAAACTTATCATTATTAATATCATTATAATTAACATTGATGATGATAGAAAACGTCGTTCTAAAACTATGAAGGGACATAATACTGTCATTTTGAGGATTGCAACAAATTTCTTTTTTTTTTTTATTTTAAGAACTCGCTTTAGAAATTACCTTGTCTATTATTGGCTTAAAGCAACACCTATAACTTAAAACGAGATTAGGTAGAGTTGGTCGTGTCATTTCTGTGATACCCATATGAATGATTTCAAGAGTTACATGATAACTGCCGTACAATTTACATATAGTAGAACATGATATGCACAATATGTTATTAAAAAAAAATTTAGTGATAATTGATTTAGTGAATGAGAAACAATGTGTGATTCTACAATTTTTCATTAAAATTATATTTGAAAACTATCCCTGTCTCCGTCAATGTAAGAAAAAAACTACACATGACATAAAACGTATTACAGATTATAGCAAGGATATGACAGGTGTCAGATGTCAAATGACAGTTGACAGGTAATAGATAAAAATAAGCAGATCGGACAGCATTGTAAAATTGAGTTTTGCAACTTTTATACAGGGGTTAACGTTGCTTTAAACCAATTTTGAAGGGTCCAACATAAAGATATGTACACAATATGTATATTGTATAATATACATATGTAATATATGTATATTGTATACAATATGTTAAGAAACAATTTAAGTCAAAAATTGATTAATGACAATGAAAATTGTTTTTAGCTATTCTTACAATTGAAAAATTTTCAAATTTAATTCGGAATAATTGAATCTTGAATGAAATAATCCATGAGGAAAATGTAGAAGAATACGTACATAAAAAGCACCATAATTCTAATTAAAGAGAAAACAATAGAAAATTACAAAAACTGAATATTATCGTATATGCCAAAAACGCAACAGAAATGTAAAAATTTTAAAAATAATAATAATAATAATTTTTTTTCTATTTCTTTTTTTTGTTTAGGTAGCGTTAAAACGTCAACAAGCTGTAGAAGATGCGATTGCATTAAGACTTGCTTCAAATGAAAAAGGTGTACCATTAGAAACTTTACCACCAGGAAAAATTTTTGGAATGACAGTAACAAATCCTTGTAATAGTCCACCACCGCCACCACTCTCATCTTCACCAACAATTTCCGATAAGGATTCAGTGAAATCAAGTAAGTAACCTATACAACTTTTTAATTAAATATATTATAATAGAACTAAATATGTACACATGCAATTTTGAATATAATATTATTCCACATACATATTGATTATTTCTTCCTTTAAATTTTATTTATTTTTTTTTAGCTTCTTCAAATTCTTCAAATCCTACAGTATCACAGAGTGCAATTGATATGTTAGCACAATTATTTCCACATAGAAAACGATCAGTTTTAGAATTGGTATTAAAACGATGTGATTTAGATCTTTTAAGAGCAATTGAACAATGTTCACCATCACAATCTGTGAGTGCATTTAGACCACCCTCATCGCAGGTAATCGAAATTATACGAACTTTATTTAGTATATATATGTATGTATATAATATAATGCACCGTATATTATTTTAATATGAAGACATTCGATTACATTTACATATATGTATGTACATTATATAAGCTCTTGAAAATTTCGGTTTATTTCTTTTATTTATCTTATTTTCCCTTAATTTTATTTAAATTCTAACACTATAGCAAAATGTTTTCTTTATGAAATCGATATTTTTCTGCGAGGAAATTATTTTTCTTTCAAACAAATATTGTTATATATTGCTTTTTATTTTAAATTTGAGTATGAAGAACATTAAATGGGTACTGAATAGGCATAAGATAAATGCATGAATTCGATTTTTCTACAAAAATTTTATATGATTTCGTTTATGCGATATAAAATTTTGATAGCAATTTAAAAATATACATTAAAAGGACATGAATAATTTGAAATTTGTACATGTTTGTATATGTATTTTGTTGTTCCAATAACATAACATAAAATTAAAGCTTTTTTTTAAATAATAAAAACAACTAATAAATATTGAATTTTAGGTACCTTCAACAAGTTGTACATCAACCATTACATTACCATCATCCTCTACTGCGAGTAGTAGTGCATCAGTAGTTACACCAATTCAAATTCCAATAAATCAACCAACACCATTACCTCCTCAACCACACTATACACCTTTAATCGCATATCCAAAATGGTTATTACCAATGAGTATTCCTGTAACAATGGGTCATTTACCAAATTTAGCACCAAGATGTACTCTACCAAATTGTCCATGTATGGATTCATTTCACTTGAATTAATAAGAAAATTGAAAAAGAAAAATTAAATTGGCATATTTTATAAAAACTCTGGTAATAAGTTTAATTAGTCAAATAAAAGTTATTTAGTTTTTAATTTTTTTTTGCATAATTATGTGTTATGCAGTAAAAATATCTTTAAAATGAAGAATTCATTTAATGAGAACTTTATATACCACCACCAACTTTATATACTACCACTTTATCTACCATTTTCCAAATCTATCCTATTAATTAAATTCAATTATGTAATCCAAATTTTCTTTCTTATTTCACTAGTATAAGTAACACAATGTGCATATGTGAGTGCAAAACTATAAATCGCATATGTCATATTTTTAATCTCAATTTTAAAGTCAGGACTCTAAGAAATTGAAAATAATTGACTTAAATTTATACAAATTAAAAAACTTTTAACAAATATAATTTTAAAGGGGTTATTAAGAATT